TCATTGGAGGGATGTGTGATCCTGAATGCACACACAGTGGCCTACGGACAGCCTTTGAAATGGACGGGCATGGCTATCGTAGCGGCTGGTCACTTGGTTGGCTTGGGCAGTCCCAGTCGTCAGACTTGGTCTGCCACTCTGCAGATGACTGGGGGTGGATGGGGTCCGAAGAGGATGGCCATACAAAATCTGGGCAGGAGAGCGGTCAGCAGGGGTTGGGGTGTTCTGGAACGCCTCACAGTTGATGTTGCCGTCAGGGGCTGTCTTGAGAATCAAGTACTTCACAGACTTGACCACAGCCTCAGCATGGCCGTTCGACTGTGGATAGTGCGGGTACATCACAAGGTGGCGGACACCCCAGCATTCAGTAAACCTATTGAATTCTTCACTGGTGAATAGGGGCCCTCCATCAGTCTTGAGGTGGACAGGTACACCAACTTCTCAGAAGTACCGGCAAAACACACACATGACCTTGGTTGCGGTTGTGTTCTGACCACAAGGAGTAACCACAGGCCACCCTGATTCTGTCTGCAATGACCAAGAAAGACATCCCAGCTACTTGAAAAAAGTCAGTGGACACAGATTTATAGGGGCGTGATGGCTGGTCATCACATAGATAGGGTTCCTGCTGCTGGCTGGGCTAAAGATGTTGACAGGAGTCACATGCTTCGACTTTACTCTTTATATCGGAGTCGATGCCAAGCCAGTAGACAGTCTGCCTGGCGTGCCGACGGGTGGCTTCAACTCCTCTGTGACTGTCGTGGAGGTGGGTCAATGTGCGACGGCAGTGTGTAGCGGGAACGACGATGCAGGGACTGTGTAGCACGAGCTCTCCGTCCGCGTAGAGGCTGTCTCGAAATTTCCAGTACAGAAAGATGGAGGCGTGTTCGCTGTAGCGGTTGGAGGGAAATTCTGTGATGACATACTCAAGAAGGTGGTGGTAGTCTTGGTCCTGTGATGCGACGGCGCGAAGCTCCTGTAGAGTCCCGTCGTCGTCGAGGATACCTGTGGCATGGCCGTCTGTCGAGTTAGTGGTAGATACAAGGGACCGGACATATGCAGTTGTCATGGTACATTCTTCATCGCCATCGGGTATGGGGTGGCTGACTGGCTTGAGTCCTGCCCGCAGATACTCTATGCACCCTATGTGTCTGGGTGGACTTACAGCACCTGGCAAAGTGGCCCTGTTTGTGGCAAGAGAGGTACATTCAGTCCTTGGCTGAACACTGGGGTATATGGTGCCAATAACCCTTTTACCCCCATTTAAGGCAGGAGCTGTCTATGGCTGGGCAATGTCCCGTGGCGTGCTGACGGGTGCAAGACCTGCAGGAGGCAGACGAGTCCTTGGTCAACAGTGGAGTCTGACAGCGTTGAGGCGTATACTTGGTCATAATCATCGTCTTCTGTCGGTGTTGGTTCCTCTTGTAGGAAGAGAGGACGTTGAGCTGTCTGGGTGCAGCAAAGATAGCAGAAGCAGTGGTCCTGGAGGACTCGAATGTTCTGCAGCAGGTGACAAAGTCATCTAAAGAGGCCTAGGTATCAAAGGAGATGAGACGCTGCACGAGTTCTTCCTCGTGCACACTCATCAAGAGGATCATCTTTAGATGAGCTGCTGCACAGGTGGAGTGGTCCTTCGTCCAGAGGCCGACTTCGTCAGCTAAGTCCTTAATGTGGGCATAGAAGGTGTTGAAGGGCTCAACGGTTGCCTGCTTGAAGGAGAGGAGTTCCCAGCGCCGTAGGGCCTCGTTCTGCAAGTTGCGGAAATGCTGTAGTGTCGAGGACTTGGGCTAGTAAGTTAGGAGGTATAGCCTGAGTATATTGCAGTAGTTGCTGACCCTCTAGCGAAACTCATGCACAGAGGTATGTGTTGTGGAGGCCCTTTAACACAGAATAGTCCTCAAACTTGCGACGCCACTGACGGTACAGTTGGTAGGTGACGTCGGACTGTAGCTGAGGAAGGCTGGGTATCTGAGGTCTACCCATGACTTGAGCAGGTGGAACACGTGAAAACTGGTGGGCAGCTGGTACTTGCTGTTCCGGTGGACAGTTTGCTGTACCTAGAAGGGCTTGGGAGCTATCATACTGAGCAGATGCACCTTCCTCTAGCTGTCGCTGTTGCTCCATTTGAAGAAGGTATTCTTGTCGTTCCACTCGTCATGCATCTTCTTGTCGTCGTCTTTCGTCAGAAATATGGGTGACTTGGAGGTAGTAGATCAAATACTGCAGCTCTTGGTTACCTTGATTGTGCTGCGAGGGGCTAGATGGATGAGGCCTCACCACTCTCAAGGATGTTTGGGCCATCGCTATCATCACTACCATCATCGAAGTTATCATCTCTGGCTTGAAAAAGGTCCTCCTGGAGCGTACATATGTCGAGTTTGGTGTCTGTGACGAGATGGTCTTACAAACCGTGTAATGTTAATACAGGTAAAAGTGCAGCAATTCGTTCTTGGGCGTGAAGAGCAAAAACAAAAAACAAACAAACAAACAAACAAACGGATTCTTTAGTGATATGTCATAAGTGCGTGTGTGGCGGCGGAGGTTTTGCGCGTTGGTGGAACGGCCACGCGGTGATGGTGGTTGTGGTGAGTGGTCCAGTCACTCGCCGATCCGAACCCGCTCTCTGGGTTGGCGGGAAAAATGGCGTTGAACGGGGAGCGGTGCTGAGACTACCGCAAACCTTCCCCACACTAAATGCACAAACACTGACACTGCACTACCACTTGTCACTGCACTATAACACTGTCGGTCAATGTAAGATCCATGACGAAAATATAAAGTTAGGAGAAGGGAACAACAGCCGGCATACACCGAGGAGAGCAAATCAGTGCCTTTCTGGTTCACTGGCAGAGTTCACTTCTCGCTGCGCCATCTGGTAATCACTGTTCTTGAAACTCTTATTACAAGTGAGCTTTATTGAGACTAATCACCACATACATCAAAGTACAAAAGGACAGGTGCCAGGACAAAACAATGGCATCTCCTCGGGCTCAACTGTCTCTCTTATTGGCTGAGGGGTTGGTGCCTGTATGGCTATAAGACTAGACAGTAGATTAGCATACAGGGCTTGCAAGTAAAACAAGTTGCATTAGCATGGGCATATATAAACACATAAACTAATATAATAATCATATCTATACAGAAGGGAGACTTGGAGAGAGAAAAGGGATTAAAATATTCGAATGTGTTATTTCACTGAAAGTATAAGGTGATAAATCTAATAATGTATATATTCATTGCTAACAGTACCATATAATCTGATATTAATAATTTACACTATGCCTACATAATGAGAAAAGAAGTATCGTAGTATGAAGGCGAGCCGTTAATCGTAAGAATCGAGAACGAAACGATTCATGAGATCACAGCGAATGCACTGTAAGATTTTGCATGTAAATGAACTTCCGCTCTAACATTATGATCATAATCGTGGCTCTTACGAATAAAATCATTATCTTTTATTAGGATCATAATTCTAATTGTTACCGTAAGTACAGATAACATCAAGGAGAATATGTCTAATGAATCAACAGTGATTATGATCAGTCATAATTTGGTATAGATTATAAACATCATTATGCAAAATCATCATCATATAGGCGTCTTAAAAAATGAAGCAGAAAAAAAGAATCAATTAATTAATGAAAAAAATAAAAAAGGAATGATGAAGAATCAAAAAATAAATGAATACATAAATAAATACACAATAAATAAATGATTAAACTAAAAATAAAAGTTTAATAAGTTTTCAGAAATAAGTAATAATGATTTCCTAGCACACGAAGAACGCGCAAAGCAAAAGCAGAAAATGTTTCGGCGTTTCCAGCCCGACAAATCCGTCTTACACTGAGGAGGTTTTGCTCTCGGCAGGAAAGGAGGCCCGGCGCGGCCCTCAAAGGGACGCCTCGCGAGTCTGACCTTTTCGCTTAATGTGTGTGTGTGTGTGTGTGTGTGTATATATATATATATATTATATATATATATATATATATATATATATATATATATATATATATATATTTATATCCATGTATGTATGTATATATGTATATATATGCATATAACATATGTATATCATGTATATATATACTTATATATGTCGTACATATGTATACATATGTATACATACATTATAATGTTATACATAAAATGCATACATATTCTCACTTGATGCATCCGACAAATAACTTACATGCCTAATACCTCAATCGACCTGATATATCCTAAGTGACTATTACATAACTGTCATATCCTACCTATCTCTACTCCTGCTACATCTCATTAATCACCATAATCGGATATCCATCTCCTATACTACTACACTCAATACCCCTCAACCACCGCTACCCACAAGCAATCACACCCACGCCGTACTACCATCATCCTACACACTCCCACATCTAAATGCATAATCTACTACATCAGACCAGCTCACCCCCACAGCCCTCCCTACGTACATCCCACTAACCACTTCACCACCACCCACTAGCATCATCTACACGCTACACTACCTATCGAGTAATCATCCCCATCACATATCACTGATCACTCTAACTACTATATCACTCCGCACCACACACTAACACCACACAACCACACCACACCCCCCCCCCCCCCTCACAACACACACACACCACACACACCACACACCACAACACACATCACACGCACACTCAACCACGACACACGCGCGACGCACACCGCACACCGCACACACACACACACACCACACAACACGCCCACAACGCCACACGCACAACACACCACACACACACACATACCCACCCCACACAACACCCACATATATAATACTATATTATATACTACATTAATGTATATACTTATATATACTATAGACAATATACTATAATTTACTATATATCATTCAACTCATCCCTCTACACCACACACCACCTCACCACACACATACAGGTGCATATATATATGTCATATATCATAAACTATACTATCATATATACTATCAATCAATATAACTATCGTAATCTATCCTCTTAACCTATATATTTATATATATATAATTAGACTTATAATATTGTATGCACTATATAATTATAATATATGCACAAGCCTATATATATGATATATCCTTCATATATATATATATATATTATATGTATAAATAATATAGTAATATATATATATATATATATATATAGTATTATATATATAAATATATACTAATACCTTATATATCTATATGCATACTATTAATATATACTATATACCTACATACTATATAGTATAGTATATGACATATATCATATACATATATCGTATCTTAAGTATATATATGATATGAGTCCCTTAATATAATATAATAATTTATATATATATATATACAGTATATATATATTATATTATATATCATATATTAATATACTATATCATATATATATATACTATCATATATATATAATATAGTATATATTAATACATATATATATAATTAATATATAATTTTAATATATCATATATACTATAACTAACATACATCACCACAGTCTATCGATATGAACTATATACTGCGAA